TGCTATAGGGTGCGTGCGCTCGCCAGACAGACAGAGACAGAGAGACAGAAAGTGAGAAATCACCCCCAAGAGGGGATGGTCATGCCGCAATCCCCTCTCCATTCTCCTCTCGGGATCTTGGGCGCACACGCGCCCTGCGTGAGTTTTAAGCCACTGGGTCCGGGACGCTGACCGCGGTCGACTACGTGGGAGTCCAGCGACATAGCCATTACGCTAACTGCTGGTTCCCCAAAGCAGCCACTTTTAGAAGGGCCCCTCTTCGAGGGTCTCGTAGGATACTGAGAATGAGGCATGAGCTAGATAGGAGGAAGGGCTTGCCCTTGTTACCTCCTGTCCCCTACCATAAAACCCCCCACCCCGCCGCGTTTCAATGAGGGCTTAATACTCTTTTAACTATCTACCAAAAGGAGATTACAGTGCATGAAGATCTAATGAAATAAACTTCACTTTTCAGCATCATAAATATTTGGAATACAAAAAGTTCAGGGATGGATATTAGAAGTAAGAAAGATATAAAAGAAGTATGCTTTAAAAATATCCAAAAGAATTAAAAATGATTCCCCACCTCCCTTGAGGCCCTTTTACACCCTGGAGCTTCCTTCAGGGAGTTACTTCCTGGGGATGAGAGCAATTCCTGACCCCCCCCAGTCTGCCCTAGTCAAGATCGCCCCTGCCTCTCCATGAAGTCAGTTGTTTCCCTGGAGCTACTGTCTACTGAGTCACAGCTGAGGAGTCCTGGGAGCTCGGGCCCACAGAGCCAGGCTCAGCCTACCCAGGCACATGCCAACACTGCTCGTGGAAGCTCCAATTGCCAGGCACCGAAGCCCTGAGAGGAAGGAAAGGGCTAGGGTACAGGACGCACACACCAGCAGGTGTTAGCTGCTGAGATATTTTTGTTTGGTTCTGGGATTTTCTTTTTGTGGGGATGGAGAATGGAAGGTTTAGGCTTTGTTTCCCCTCATGTACTTTGCCCAGCTTCTCTGGACATAACCTCTAAGTTAGTCACTACACTGGGCCAAATCAAATCCATGGTGTAGAAATCACAAAAGCTCTGGAAGCAGGCAGGTTCATTTTCCAGCTTGGTCTCAGACTGCCTGGGTGTGAACTTGAGCCAGCCAAGTCCTTGCTAAACACCTGTCTGTAAAATGGGGAGAGGAGGGTCAAGTGGGAGGACTTCTGTAAAAAGCTTAAGAAATATGTTTTCTTTTTTCCCAGGGCCTGGGATTTTTCCATATTGTCTTCAGGGGTGGGAAGCCTGAGCTGGCATGGCTCTACCCTCCCTCCCGAGTTCTGGCCAGTGTAAACCATAGGCCCTCAAAGGGCCAGTCTTGCCCCTACACTGCCTCCCTCAGCTCTCCAGCCCAGCTACCGTGGAGGTTGCTGAGCATTTGCCCTCTCCCCTCTGCACTGACAAGGAAGAAGGGTGAGCTGGTGAACCCGATGCTCACATTTGCCCTCTCCCCTTTCCCCAAACATATCACTTGTCTCTTCCAGATCGCTGGAATCCTCACCTTCTGGTCCAGCTGCCCTGCCCTCCCACTCCCACTTACCTTAAGTCAGTTCCTCTTGTCCTTCAAGACCCTTACATGGGGCGTTAAACAAGGAGTGAGGGTCACTTGTCTTTGTTGGTCAAAGGCATGTAGGGATTTCACGTGCTCTGTGAGAAGGATTTCAATGAGGAAAGCATTCTCCATGCTAGAAACTGAAGTAAAAGTGTAAGCATTGAAAAAAATCCCCTAAGGAACTGGGACAGCTCCTCATGGTGAGGGATAGGTCTTAATCTCCCTCAATCTGAGATTATGGACATCTTTGGGGAACTTGACCTGTTCGATTCTTAGGTTTCTTTCTTGTCCTATGCGATCAGTGATTGGTGCAGGCCAAAGAGCTCAAGACTGAGAGGCTCTGGGTCTGGGGCCCAGCCCTACCATTGACGAGAAGCACTTGATCTTGGGCCCATGCACTCCTTCCCTCCCTGATGCCCTGCGGGCTCCACAGTGATGCTGGCAGAGGGCTGGACCCTTGGGACATCCTGGCACTGACACAAAGTTGGCTGTGTGTAGGGTGCACCCAGGGACAAGATGCTCACCTGACTGGAATCACAGATGCTGAAGCAGAGGCCAAGATGGGGATGGGGCCCTGGAGTCTGATCCCCAAGCTGATGGGCCTCCAGGGTAGCCACACAACCCCACCTGCAATGCAGCAGACACACCAGAGCCCTGAGCTTTCCTGGCAACAAATACTCTTGTGCCTCACCCCTTACTGGCACATCTGTGTCAGGCTACCTCAGTGTAGAGCTGGGCACATCTGAGATGCCCGGTTCTCACGCTGTCATCAGCACTGCAGATCTTTCCATAATTATAACCAGGAGCTAGGAATCCAGTTCCCACTATATGGAAGGACCCCTCACCTCCAAGCTCATGTCTGCTACCCAGATGCCCACATGCCAACCAGTCTAACCCCATCTTTGCTCCCTGCAGAGGGATAAGGGGGTGGGAGTGCCCTGACCAGGGTCCTAAGGAGTGGAGTGGATATACCAGCCGTCTTTGCAGGCAAGTGAGGATGCTCAGACCAGCCTCAACCCCAAGGCCCTGGAGAGGGGATCTCTGAGGCAGGTTTGAGACAAGCCAACACTGATCTACACAAATCAACAGAGGCTGAGAAAGGGAAAACTTAACTCACAGCCCCAAACAAGCTGGACCCCAGGGCCAGAGGTGACCGTGTCATCCCAGAGGATTCCCTGAGGATCCCAACAGGCATCTCAGTCTTGCTTTGGAAACATGCAACTCAGGCCTCAGAGACAGGCAAACAGGTTGCGAAAAGAAGATAGGCGAGGGGCAAACACACACACACACACACGCTCATTCATACACAGTGCCTGGAACTCCCGCAAAACACAGCTGTTCCACAGGGGAACCTCCTCCTGATTGGTGCAGAGCCAGAGTGGGAACTTAACTCACAGCCCCAAACAAGCTGGACCCCAGGGCCAGAGGTGACCGTGTCATCCCAGAGGATTCCCTGAGGATCCCAACAGGCATCTCAGTCTTGCTTTGGAAACATGCAACTCAGGCCTCAGAGACAGGCAAACAGGTTGCGAAAAGAAGATAGGCGAGGGGCAAACACACACACACACACTCACACACACACGCTCATTCATACACAGTGCCTGGAACTCCCGCAAAACACAGCTGTTCCACAGGGGAACCTCCTCCTGATTGGTGCAGAGCCAGAGTGGGCCAGGAAATGAGCCCTGTACCCACCACCAGCTCTGCTCAGAGACTCCTGCAGGGCCCTCACCCTCCTACCTTCCCCTGTCTCAGCTCAGAGAGGACGCAGCAGTGCCACTCGGGGGTTTATTCCAGTCACAGCTTCCAGAGAAACGCAACAATAAATTACATCATTAAATAAACTCCCTGCCGGACCATGCCCCTCTGCCCCCTCTTCACAACCTCTCCCAGGACCCTGTGGGGGCTTGGCCAGGCCCATGTTCTCCACTGGGTGGGTGGGTAGGGGCATGAGACTCATTGTGTCCCCACCCTGGTCCTCAGCCCCCTCGGACTCACTTGTTGACCTTGACAGCTGGGCAGCTGCTAGTCAGCTGTCCTGGGGGGAGGAGCAGCAGCCACCCCATGCCAGACCTGTGTCACTAAAGATGTGTGGGATTCTCCAGAGAGGGGTCCGTCTTAGTCATGTGCAAGACCACGGTGGGGGCCTTATAGTGGCAGTGGGTGCCACGGCCATAGCCCCCAGGGGCCCTGCAGGCCTTCGCCCGGGCCCGGCCAGCTGCCATCTTGCGGTGGCACAGACTCTGCCAGGTCTGGAAAGTCTTGGAGCTCCATACCCAGACACCGCTGGTGATGCCCACCACCAGTGACATGAAGATTTTGAGCATGAAGACAGCCACTGTGGGTACTGAGCCCCCTGGCAGTGAGCAGTCCCTCCGACCTCCAGGCATAGTGGCTGCTGTGCATGGCTGCTCTGTGGCCCGAAGGCGCCAGAAGTCCATATTGAGGCGTTCATAGACATAGCAAACAATGACACAGGTGGCAGGGACCGTGTAGAGGATGGAGAATACCCCGATCTTGACCATGAGCTTCTCCAGTTTCTCAGTGTTGGTGCCACCTGTCTTCATGATCTTGCGAATGTGGAAGAGGGCCACGAAGCCTGTCAGGAGGAAGCTGGTACCCAGCACCAGGTAGCAAGAGAGTGGCACCAGCACGAAGCCCGTGAGAGCTGCTGCATCCATGCTGGCCACGTAGCAGAGCCCTGTCAGCTCGTCCCCGGCCACCTTCCGCAGTGTCAGGATAACGATGGTCTTGAGCGCCGGCAGTCCCCAGGCCGCCATGTGGAAGTAGCTGCCGTGGGCCTCAATGGCCTCGTGGCCCCATTTCTTGCCAGCTGCCAGAAACCAGGTGAGCGTCAAGACCACCCACCACAGCGAGCTGGCCATGCCGAAATAGTAGAGTAGCAGGAAGACGAGCGTGCAGCCTGTGTTCTCCAGGCCCTCCTGGATCACGTACAGCGAACCCGCCTCCTGGTCGCAGGCCACGCTCTGGGCTCCGGCCACGGCGCGGATGAGGAAGGCCAGGGAGTAGACGTTATAGCACATGGAGAGGAAGATGATGGGGCGCTCGGGATACTGGAAGCGGTGAGGCTCCAGCAGGAAGGTGAGCACGGTGAAGGCGGTGGAAAAAAAGCACAGCGCCGACCACACAGCCATCCAGACCAGTGCGAAGTCCCTGTCGCGTTGCGACCAAAACACCTCGACGCCCGCTCCACAGCGCGGCGCGCACGAGCGGCTCTTCTCCACGTACTGGAACTTCTCCGGGTTCTCGCAGGTGCCGCCGCCGCCTGAGCCGGGGCCTGCGTCGCCAGGGGGCCTTGCGGGCCGCGGCGCCACAGGCAGCATACCCAGGCCCTTGTGGGGCTCGGCGGGGCCGGCGGTGGCGTTCTCCGGCGCCTCCATGCAGAGTGCGTGCGGGTCATTGCGCGTGGGGAGCCGGGCGCAGTCGAGCGAGTCCGGCCAGCCGAAGTTGAACTGCTCCATGATGGGCGCGCAGCGCAGGCGCGCCTGCTCGCACATGGGCCGGCAGGCGGGGATGGGCGTCGAGACCTGGTCGGTGCACATGGGCGCATACAGCGAGCACAAGAAGAAGCGCAGGTGACTGTGGCAGCC